AAGACACTGAGAACAGGATTGACCAACAAAAGATTCTAAGTAAACAGGGTTCTGCTGGTAGAGTGGTTCCAGGTAGGGTTCACTCTGTATGGAGCCAAGAACACCTGCAGTGAGAAAAGCCTGTTTAGTCCTCCCTAGTTCAAGGTTGATTAGTATTATTTCCACAGCCAGCCTACACTCACACAGACCAGGCCACTGAAGTCAAACCCTAAGTGAGAGTGTTAAGACTCATTGATGCCCCAACCATAGAAAGGATCCATGCTGATTTCTGTGTTTGCTAGGCATGCATCTATCGCTTGAACCCACACTCCCGTTAATTATTTTTGGTATAGGGTCTTGCATTTTTTTCCTGGACCATGATTCTCCTATTTATGCTTCCCAAGTAGCTAGTATGATAGGTACCCATTGGTTGAGATGAGATCTCCCTAACTTTTTGCCTGACTGACCTCAAACCTTGATCCTCCCGATCTCCACCTCCCAAGTAACTAGGATTACAGGCATGAGCCACCACACTCAGTATAAATTATTAATTTCTTAAGATTTAGGGCTGGTGGAGTGGCTTATGTGTTAAAGTACCTGCCTAGCAAGCATAAGACCCTAAGTTCAAACCCCAGTACTGCAAAAAACAAAAAAAACATTGTGTAGCTCTCATTTCCACTTAACGGGTACCTTAGCACAAAATTATGATTATACCACTCCATCAAAATTGGGGTGTTAAGTAGCAGAAAACTAACTCAAACTGGCTTACATCATTAACAAAGACCCAGACATGGGCTTCAAGCCTAGAACAACCCATGGCTCCAGCAAAGGCATCAAGAACCAAGATGTACTTAGCTGCTACCCCGCTGCTCTCAAGCTAGCTCCACTCACGGCCCAGGATAGCAGATAGCAGCTCCAGGCATCACAACCCAACAGTACAATAGAAGGAGGAAGAACAAGCTTCTGTGGAGTCCTCTCTGACAAAAGGAAACCTTTTCCTGAAGTCTCCAGCAGACTTCCTACCTCATCGCCAGAACAAAGATCCTCATTCTTCAACCAATCGCCAGCCCAGAAAATGGGTCAACCACAAATGGGTTAGAGTTTAGTGACTCTCAACCCTGACCCTATGTTTCCAGTTTCCCCAGGTGTTCTCAATGAGCAGCTTACCCTGAGAACTACCAAGTTACACCAATTAGAATTACCCCAAAGTACCTCTCCCTGAGTCACTTGGAAAAGAGTATGAGCACTTGAACAAAGTCTGAGTTGATGGAAGGGGAAAAAGAATGCCATCAGGCCCAACAGGCGTGTCTACACAACCATCTTACAACTGTGTTTTCAAGCCACTTTGATGGCATGTTATTCAATCCTTTGGATTTTCTGTACCCATTTTATTTTACAAAAAAAGGAAACCAAGGCTCAAGTTTACAGATACGTGAAATTCGCTTGTCTTCCAAATCTCAATTTGTTTATAATAATATAAGAAATTTCCCCAAAAGAACATTTCTGTGAAAGAGTAAACATAAAGGCAAAGGGATTTTTTCATATTTTCCAAAGGGAAACAAAGCAAAAGTCATTAAAACACGAAGGCCTAAAAGAAATGTTAACACCAAGTCCTGGAAGACATGAATACTGGTCCTGACCATGACAATAACGAGGTCTCTTATGACCTTTCGTGTCTGTGATGAGAACAGGCTCAATTCTTAGGGCTCTTCCAGCTCATACACACACCCCACTAGAGAGCCCAAGTTTACTTAAGCATTCAGTATAACAATATATGTGATTAAAATGGCAAGGAGTATTTGTTCCGATCTTTGGTGGAAAATATTTTCCATATTTTCTCTAATGCCTAATGTAAAATTTATGAGAAAAGCATGTATACCTAATTGCTGTTTCATAAGCACCTAAAGCTACATACAAAAGTTTAAATTGCATTGAAAGAGGACACTGGTTACTCAAGGAAAGGAGTGACAAAAGCAAGAACTAAAAAGCCATTTGAACAAAGACTTCATTGAATTGACTGAATGAGCTTCAAATCCACCATGTAAGTGCATGATTCTTCTCTCTGGAGTTCCTCCCACCCCACTGCTATCTCAAACACCATACACACAAACATCCAATACCGCCTCCAATTATGTCTGGCTTCTGCCCCTAAACTGTCAAATTCCCAAAGAATAAAGTCCCATTCCCAGCCTTGCTTTTATGGCCCTCCATAATGTGGAAACAGACCTTTTCTGTTCATCCCAGTCTACTCTGAAATGTAATCCTACTGCAGCCAAATTGGCCTCGTTCTTCCAACATTTCAGATGTTCTGGTTTCTTCTCGGCTATTTCCAATCTGACAAGGTTCCATTCCCTACATAAAACACCAGCGTTCCAAACCTTCCAGCAAATCTTCTCTGCTCTTACCTACAACAAACGCTTATTCCTGACAAAAGTTACAATACTGACATGTAACTTAGCCTTTTGACATATGTCTGCATATTCTTCGTTCCTTCAAGAATTTAGCGTATGAGTTCAAAAATGTTCCTCAGATTGAAGTGAATTCAACCACAGAAATAATCTCAAGGGCAAGGGTGTCTGCCTTGTTACTCCTTTTTATCTCAATCACAACCTTTAACAAATGGCAGGTGCCAAGTATTTGCTGATTGCTATGTGAAAGAACTCAGCAGCAAGCCTTCAGGTCCAGCATGCCTCCTACTTTAAATATTTACAGAACATTCAGACTTTTCAGGATGTCTTTCAGGAGATGCCTCCTAAAGCATCTTAGGACAATTAAAAACAGCAATCATTGAAACGCACAATCCTAAAAACGCACAAAAGACCATTTTTGCAAAATGAAGTATAAAACATCTGGAAATATAAACAATGGAACCTAGTTATTACTCTTTCTGCAGATCCTCCCCCTAGTGTTCTTCCTTGACTCTCTGGGCTCCAATGTTAGAGAAAAGCTCACTGTTAGATGAACCATTGATTCTAGGTTAAAATTTCAAAGGACCTCAACCAGCCATTTCCAAACGCTGGGGAACCCTTACCAATGCCTCCAAGAAGTGGAGCAGGAGAAACTGAACACGGGAAAAATTACACGACCTGTCCAACTGCCAAGTAGCCAGCGTCAGTACTGGAGAAAAAGTTAACCCAGGACTCCTTACTTAAGTCCAGCACTCTTAATCTTTGCTAAGAACTAGAAGTAAAGTTTAAGGAATGAGTGGGGGAAAGCCAGGGCCCCCACACACAGACAACTTGCCAAAAGAATGTGAGCTAAAGCTTTTTTGTCTTGGGAAAGAATGTAAAGTAACTGAAGAGAAAGAGAAAAAGGATGCTTTCTTGTTCCCTTACACATCTTTATGCTTCTTAAGGTTAAGGACAAGAAGCAAAAGGAATAAGCTACCAATTCACAAATTCCGGGAAGTCTACATTCTGAGGAAGAAGGCTGACAGCTGGCCCCCCCCAGATGCACTGGCTGCTGTTGGAACACGAAGCATGCTTCCTGCTGGCAAAGCAGCTAATATGCGGTCCCAGAAATAGCTTTCTGCCAGTGGCCAAACTGGCTTTGCCATCTGCCTCTCTCCTGGTGTTCCCAAGCTCTAGAGGGAGCTTCTGCAGCCAAAATACAAGGTCCACTCCCCCAGCCAGAGACACTGGTCAGGACAGAGCTACCTCCATGTTTTCTGCCCCTCCCTGCTTCTCACCCAGCACATATACCCCACACCAAGGGCCTGGAAAGCCATCCACCAAATAAACCCACTCACCACGTATCCCAAACAAAGCGATTCCCAATCCTGATCTTGCCAACACCAAAGAGGTCACAGGACCAAAAGGAACCAATTATCCAGAGAAGTTGAGTGACTTGCTTCCAAAATTACAGGGGTGGCTCACTAAATTCTTTCCATTAAAATTTATTTCAAGTCATCTATTAAATGAATTATTAACTGTGGCAGGTACTGTGATGGCCAAATGACATGGTTTGTTCAGTATGTTTTAATCCTCCTTAATGCAAAGCTGTGGTGGGGAGTGTGACATGGGATATTTTCCCAGGGATGGTGTCTACAAACAAGGGTACAAGGAACAAATTTCCAAGGCGGGAAATCAGTTGAATGGCGAAGGCCCTAACAACACCCACCAGGGAGTCTGGATACTGCCGGGGGTCCTGCAGGTCTTTTTATGAGGGGAAAGGGACAATGGTTCCCAGGGGTGGTCAAGCTGCAGGGCTCCTCGCTAGAGCGAATTCCTCCTGGTTCCTAGGGACATAATAACTCTGGTTTCTGCTCCAATTTCAGCCCAGACTCTTAAGCTACACTACATTTATTCTCGTTTTCATCTGAGTTTTTCAAAAGCCCGGGCTCAGAGGCGTGAGGCCTGAGCAGGGTGGAATTCCCTATTTGCGGGCAGCACCGACCAGGCCCAGGGGGTAGGCTGTCCCCTGACCCTTTCAAACCCCAATCTTTGAACCCTGCTCAGCACGAGGAGGGAGGGAAGGAATGTGCAGAAGGCAGCACAAAGCCAGGTGGACTTTCTGGTTTGGCACAGAGAGGGACCTGGGATCAGACTATCTGGGAACATGAAAAATGACACAGAGAAAGTGAAGCTGACAGAACTCCTGAAGAATTCAACACCCAGCAGGGGTTTCAAAGAATTCCCGCCCCCCCCCGCAAAAAAAAAGTTCTTTGACAAAACTCGTCAAAGTGATGTCTGTTTTGTAGAAGCCTGGGAGCAGCTTGAGGATGCAATAAAACCTGACCCCGGGTGCTGAGATCATGGGAGGCGTCCGGCGGGGCGCTCAGCGCCCAGGGGCGCAGGGCTGAGACCCGGCTGCGCGCTCCCACGCACCTCTCCAGGCTCGGGCCTCCGCAGAGGGCAGGGCGGGAAAGGGGGGCTGGTCCCCAGCTTCCCCAGAGATCGGGGAGTAGGAAGGACCCTGGACCCAATTCTCCTGGCCCCTCGGACAGCTGGTCGGGTGGCCCGGGACCATCTGCTCCGGGCCTCGCCAACGCCGCGTTCCATCGCCCCGGGGTCCGCACTTACTTTTGGTGGCCGCGATGAGGTTCTTCCCGTCCTTGATGAGCTCTTTGATGAACTTGTTGGTCCTCTCCAGCTCCGCCTCGTGCGCGCGGATCCTCTCCCGGAACCACGGGCTGTCGAGGTAGCAGTCGCTGAACTCCAGGGGCTGCAGCCCCATGGCTGGCGCGATCGGCGCGGCGCAGCGCGCACGGCCCGGCCGGGGCTCCAAGGCGGCTGCCAGGTGCGGGCGGCGCGCGCAGGAAGCTCGGGAGGAGCTAACCGTGCAGGGCGCGCGGCAGGGACATGTCCCGCGGGGCCGGGCTGGGCCACCGAGGAGCCGCGGGCGGCCGGGACGAGCGATCGGCAGCCCTCGATCCTTCCCTTCCCTGCTTCCCTGCTTCCCTCCCTCCCTCCTCCCTCCTTCCCTTCCTTCCCCAGACGCCTCTCCTCCCGGCCCCACGCGCTCTCGCCCCTCCTCTTCCTTCCGAGCCTCCTCGTCTACAATTTCGGCCGCAGCTCCTCCACCCCCGGGCCTGCCCCTCCCCGCTGCCGGCTCCCCGGATCGCGGTGACTCATGGGCTCCCCGGAGTGGGGAACCCGATCGGACGAGGAAGGACAGGCTCAGCGGCAGTCCTGAGCCCCGCCATCGGACGGCTCAACGCCCAGGCGGTCCGGCTGGCTGGCTGAAGGAAGTTGATTGACTCATTTATCTCACTTATCTAGGGCCCGGCCTGGCTGGACTCTGGTTTTCCTTACCCAAGATGTCCCTCATTCACAGTCACATGATGGGGGCATCTCCACCTGAGCGCGGTCCAGGTGGCCCCGCCGCTCTTAGGACGCTTTGCTGCCCAGCCACACATTGGGGGGGTGGCGAGCGGGCATGGGGCTCAACCTGAGAGAAGTTGTTTCTGCTGTGCTCACCAATTTTAATTTATCATTGCTCTAAAAATAACCGATGGGACATAAATGCTAGTATTTGTGTGGTTTTCACCAGGTGCCGAATGGCAATCGAGTGAGAACCCAGGTCAGTACAGCCCCAAAGCTCTTCACATCTCCATGTGTCCCCCAAAACACTAAGGTATTTCAAGTTATTGACATTATACCGAAAAGAATGTACTGCTGGTTCACTGGAATAGCTTTTCCTAATAGCCAGCCATTTCTTAAGCAATCATTATGTGCCCGGCACACACTAGGACTCTGCAACTCACTTGTTTACATATATGGGTTTACTAATGACTGTAGGATTACCAAGAAACTTCAAAGCCATTCTTTAAAACGTTCAGACTCTGAGCTGCTTAATTAAGAATATGTTTGCACTGCAAGTGGTAGGAGTATAAGTCAGGAAAAAGTTAAATAAGCCTCCTACTCAATAAACTCTTTTGTTACAAAACAACCCACAGATAAACACGATTGCCTTCATGACTGTCCTCCAGGGAGTTCAAGATGTTTTACAAATAACTTTTAGGTGTTGAAAGGTTCCCTTCCTACTAAAAGCAGCAGGGGATTGGAGTCAATAGAGGAGAGAATAAAAGAGGGAAATAAAGGAGAAGAAAGACACTGCAGAAGAAAAGGGATGGGACAAAGTGAGGGCCTGGCAAAAGAGCAAGAGCAGCCAGCACTCAATCCTCTGGGCTAAAACCTACACCTTTCCTGCTGAAGATTTGCTGCTGGGGTCTCCTGAAACAGAAAACACAGATGTGCTATATGCGCAGCAATTCCACTCTTAGATACAGACCTACAAGGAAGAAAAAACATACGTCCACAAAAATACTTACACACACCCAACCTGGTGGCTCACCTATGTAATCCATTGCTCAGGAGAAGATGAGTGGGGTTTTGTTTGGTTGGTTTTTTTTTTTTTTTTTTTTTGCAGTACCAAGGTTTGAACTCAGGGCCTACACATTGAGCCACTCCACCAGCCCTTTTTTGTGATTGGTTTTTTTCAAGATAGAGTCTCAAGAACAATTTGCCAAGGCTGGCTTCAAATTGCAATCCTCCTGATCTCTGCCTCCTAAGTAGCTAGAATTACAGGCATGAGCCACCAGCACCCAGCATATGAGTGATTTTTTTTAAAAAAGATGAAGACTAAAAATAAAGATGCGAGCTACAGGGCTGGACATAGAGTCTCCCACTTGTAATCCCAACTTCTCCAGAGGCAGAGATCAAGAGGATGGTGATTCGAGGCCAGCCAGAGAAAAAAGTTAGCAAGACCCCCATCTCAATCAACATGTTGGGTGTGGTAGTGCATGTCTGTGGTCCCAGCTATACAGAAGGCCCCCAACAAAAACTGTGAGACCCTATCCAAACAATAATAACCAAAGCAAATAAGGGCTGTGAGTGTGGCTCAACTTCTAGAGTGCCTGCCTAGCAAGAGAGATGCCCTGAGTTCAAGCCCCAGTACCCCTCCCCCAAAATAAGGGTGCTTGCTTGGGCAACACCTACACTAAAATTGGAATGATACAGAGATTAGCATGGCCTCTGTCCAAGGACAATATACAAATTTGTAACGTGTTCCATTAAAAAAGAAAAAAGATGTGGGTTCAGTTGTAGAATACCTGCCTAGCATGCTGGGTCCTGGGATCCATCCCCATGACTACAGAACAAATGAACACAGATAAGCTGCTGCAGGCAATTGCCCCTCCCTCTTTAACATTGCCTACTCCGAGTGAAAAACTCTGACTTTGTTCAGTGTGGCCAGTTCTTTAGATGTTTGGAGCAAAACAATTTGCTCACAAGTTCACAGCATCACAAAAAGTCATGACTTGTAACTTACACACACACACACACACACACACACACACACACACTGTTCAAGACCAGACAAATGTGCAGCCTGATTCAACACTACACAGGTCTTCTGTGAGCACCACAGGTGAAGGGGCTCCATTAGTTTTGTTTTATTCAACCATACCTTTTCCAGTGCCTGGTAGAGATGACCAACAAATGTAGAATGGATGAGAAGTATGACTAAGTGAAGAGAAACTGAGACAGATTAGAGGGACACACCTCTCCCTGGGGCACTGGGACAGGAGTTAAGCATTGTTAGAGCACTGTTAATTCTGTTTAATCACTATCAGTGTTAATGAGAAGACTTTACTGTGAGCACCTTTTAGTGTGTGCGTCTCCTTTAAATATGCAAAGATGTTGGAGCAGCGGCAATTTGACTCCCTAATCAACAGCTGTTAGGGCCTTTGCTGGTGTCCCAGCTCCTTGAGTGAAGGACCATCAGCCAAGCAGCCGGCTGGACTGTCCTCATGCCAGCACCAGCTGCTTTGAACACTCCAGGAAAACATGCCTTGAGGAAACCACACAGCAACCACAGCTGCTTGCTGCAGATGCACAACTCTAGCTCCTAAGTACCCACTGAGTCCCAGTCACAACGGTTTCAAACAGCTTACACTGGACTCTGCCATCATAAGCTTCTGTGAACTCTGCACAACCCTGCAGCCATTTACACCCAGGCCAGAGTGGGAGCACCTCCCCTGACGGCCCAGCAGAAGGAAAGTGACTGGTGCAAATACAGTCCTGCATTTGCATGAGGGACTTCTGTGATTAGTGCACATGTGATCCCTCCTTTTCATGAAGGACTTGCCATGATTGGTACAAACATATCCCTTCTGCATGAAGAACTGCTGTGATTGGTGCAGACACCCTTGCCACACCCCCTTCCTAGCTATATAAGCAGGCTGATGGGCTGACTTTGTCAAGGGTAGGAGAGACTGTCCTGTGCTGCCCTTGCTGGTGGTGTAATGATAGGCCCAATAAAAGGCTTCTCTTTAGTGGCCTTTTGATCTTCATCAAAGAGGCTGGAGGAAGCAGCAGCTGACTGATACTGGTGATGAAAGTGGCAGAGGCAATAGTGGTGGTGGAGGTGACAGCAGGCTCTGCTCCAGCAGTAGTTATGAAAAGCAACTAAAGGGTTCCAGAGAGCCACCAGGGCAAAAGTGACAGAGAGCAGAGGTGATGAGGAACAAGGGACAGTGAGAAGTAGAGAGAAGGTGAGAGGGGGTGGAGAGCTGAAGACAGAAGATGTAAAGAGCCAGAGAAGAGAAACTGTAGGCCCTGTCAGTGGAAAAGCTCCAGGGAGCTTCTGAGCGTTAAGAGTCAAGGGTCTCAGACACCCTAGGCTGAGAGCTGTAACACTTGTCCCTGCAGAGCTAAGGATCCCAGGACCCAAGGACTGTACAAGTGCTGTAACACTAGAAGGTGCCAGCTACTGCTGCTTGCTGCTGCCTGCTGCTGTTGCTCAATATTGCCCAAAGCTGAGGACTACAGAAGCTGCCAGGCTGCTGGTGGTTAAAGCCCAGAGCAACAGGTCTCTAATCTGAATGCCAAGAGCCAGGGTTAAGTCTCTGACTTTCTAAAGCCTGGAGCAATAGGACCCTAGCTCTCAGGGTTTGGAGATGAAGAGCCAGGGTAGCTTCTCCTCACCTACCCTTGATTCCTATCTGGGTCAACCAGCTAGCTGCTCACAAAACCTCTGCACAATGGCAAGACAGATATTTAGGAGTTCCAGCCCTAGGCTCATTATTAATAGTTGTATGACCTTAGCAATGGTTTTTTGTTTTTTTTTTTAAACCTGACTTACTACTGGTACAAGTTGATTGAGGTTTTATGAACTTGGGTTTGTAAAGTGGCTGCTGAAAGGTATAATGAGGACAAAGAGAAAGAGGAGGAGGGTATGGGAAAGAAGGGCTGAAAAGAGGGATGAGGGAAAAGAGGAGATGATTCTATCCCATTAATATGGGTAGGGGATCACTTAGATCATAGCATCAAGCCATGTAAGACAGAATTCAAGGAAAGAGGTGACAACAGCAGATGTTACTGAGTTCCCAGATTTCATCTTCACTTCATTCATTCACTTGTTCCTTGAGAACCTTCTCTACCTGTGAAGACTCTGCCAGGTGCCAGGGTCCAACAACACACAGTGTTGTCCTCACTATGCTTTTGGTAGCAAGAGAGACCTTAAAGTATAAATCACACAAACATATCCAATTTAAAATAAAATGCCAGGGTTTCAGGTGTAGCTCAGTGGTAGAGCACTTGCTTAGCATGTGAGTCCTGGGGTTGGATCCCCAGACCATAAAAAAGGAATAAACAATAAAAAAAGAAATAAATAAGAAATCAGAGTGCCCAACAGTTAGAAGTGAAGAGGTCTGTGAGAAGCTGTAGAATAGACTGGGACTGGAGTAAAGGAAGGATCCTGGAGGAAGTTTCATTTAATCAATGAGCAGAAGAGCCAGAAGTTAACCATTAAATAGGGGGTGGGAACAGAGTAATCCAGACAAGGAACCAGCTTGTACAGACTCCTGGGACAGCACAGCTAGGACCAATAGAGAAGGCCAGGGTGCATCATTTACTGAAAGGAGAGAGCGGGCGTGGCAGTGGCAGTACCAGAGGTGGGCAGGGCC